GTCCGAGGCTTGCTGATGGCTTTTTAATGGTGTGCTGGATAACATGCTCCATTCCAGATGATCTCTAAGGTTGTGAGTTACGGGCCTCAGATGTCTACCTATGTCAAATCTGAAAATACGAGGCAAGTGCTATGAGAACACATATTTTAAATGTAATGTAGTAATGTTACAACATCAGTAACACCGAAAATGCTTATGTAACATTCTAGCCACGCCTGCTCTAAAAATCTCTGGCTACAGCTCTTAGGATGCTATTTACACCAATTTCAGTGTTTCCTTTTTATTTTCTTAGCACCAGGACATTTGTAACTTAAGAACCCAGGTCTTCTGACCCAATTTCATCGCAGCTTACTAAGAAGTCAGAAATAAAGACTCCCTAGTACTATTTCATAAAACTCAAAATGTTGAGCTTGACTTCCTTATTAGCTGCGTTGCTGTTCTGCAGTGTCAAAAGGTGCAAAATGTAAGAGCCAGTTCCAGCAAGAGAGAAAGAAGGCAGTTCAAATAAACAGTCTTCTCAGAGGGAGAAGGAAGACACAATTAGCTCCCTCATGATTCTCAGTCACGGTTAAGTGTTACAGCCACACAAGGACTGCAGCGATGATATCTTAGCAATGAAATCACACCATTCCAAGTGCAGTAAAACAACTAACAGAGGTAATTTCTGAAGAAAAGGGTCAGAAAAAACTACAGCCAGCATTCAGTCAGTGTACCGGGCATACAGATTCTTGCTTACACCACAATTAGCTCAGCCTCTTGACCGCCAGCCAGCCACACATAATGACCTGTGGCAGCAACCACTTCTGCTGCAGGTGGCTCAGAAGGAAATGGTTTCTTTTAACTACTGCTACCAAGAGCAAATGTAGTTAGCAGCAAAAAGTATAACTCTTCTCTTTTTCTTAAGCCTCAAACCCAAACGAAGTTCTGTCGTGCAACATCTGAAATATATGTATCACTGCCTGACTGATAAATAGTACTAAATCCAGCAACTGGGACACAAGAACACTGCAAATATCCACTGCATTACTGAACATTCACTAAAATGAACGCTCCTCTTCGGCTCTTCATATTGAATTCCTCATTGCTTCCTAATGGAAATAATGGATACACCTATTAAAATTCAGCCTCTGCATTTTACAGTGCTGTTTCAGTGCTGGTTCTGGCCCATGTCACTCCAAGGCAGACACAGCTCTGGGCCAAAAAAATGACTTCTAGCTCATCTTTTGTGACGGAAAGTCTGATTCTGCACCCGACTGTGGCCTGATCTCCTTTGTGATTTGCTTTCCTCTGTGTTCTGAATTCACTTCCTTTAAGTGCTTGTAGAAAGATCCACGTAGAGCATAAGGGCTTGAATAAACAAGAATGAGAATCCCACGAGCATCGCACACACGAACACATTAACTGATTGTGGAAACAGGGGTCTTGGATGGGAATGGATCAGCTTCACTGCAGCAAACACATGGGGATCTTAATGAAATGGAAAGAAGGGCTAAGGACTGCTCCTGCCCACGCTGCCTCCAAGTGCAGGTTCTTGGGCTTGTCCAACCAGCACACCTACATTTTGCTGCAACAGATGTTTCTACAACAAGGAACATTGGTTGAATGGTGTTTGCTGATCACAGACCATTTCCTGAGCAAATCTGTGTCTGGGAATAATCAATACGACCAGGCTGTTAATTCTGCATAGAAATCTGCACATTAAGGTAATGAAAGCAATGTCAGAGGATTAGTTAAAGTAAAAGAAAATAACGTTAAGATGCCTTTCTGACCAAGAGCTCTGTTGTTCCACTCCAAGGACAGATAAAAACAAAATGAACTCTACATCTCGTTAGAGAGAACACAGGAGAAAAAAAATAGGCAGAAGGTAGAAACACGTATGTGAGCAGCTAAGGGAGGCTGAAGTGGACAGAACTCTCCAAACAAGGAGGCCAGACCAGTGTGTTGGAGGACCAGACACCAGGAACCAGGACCCAATGCACCAATCCCAGTCTGAGTGCTTTGCTGCTCTGTTGATGTATTAGCTTCCAAAAGAAGATTGCTTCTTACCTTCGATCCACCACCGGAAGACCTTCTTAGTTTTAACTGGTATTTTCTGCCTGTTTGGAAAAGGTATTCTTTCTAACCTATGAAATCAATACTAACAATGTATGCCAGAGCTCTGCCTGAGCAGACTTATTAAAAGAGGCCAAATGAAACTTCCCATGACCCAGTGCATTTCAGAGAAAGCATCAGGATCAGAGGGCTCAAATAGTTTATCTTGGCTATTGAATTTATTTTGGCTGTAATAAATATTTTGGCTTCCTTCCCTATCAGTTTGCCAATGAAAACACAGATCCAAGGTTTTCAGACTACAGCACTGGAGCAATTCTGAAAATGACAAAGTGAAACATACATCAGCTAATAAAGAGCTATTCATGATATAAATGCCCTCTTGTGCTGTTTTCTGCATACAGTAACTCAGCTTCTGAAAATACTGGACACATTCACCCTAACACTGATCTCAGATTCTGCAGCAAGTAGCAATGATGCTTTCTTAACAAGCAACTCGTCTGATTTCTAAGCAGCCTATTATTCCTCTCTCACAGAGACATACTGCAACTCTGTTTTTGTAGGTGAGAATAAAATGAAGATAACCCATGAAGCTACCAAAACATCTGTTCACACTGCATGTGGTCATTCGGCATGAATAGGCGTCAGTGAGATTCACCAAAGGTAACATCGTCATCTTTTTGACAGAAAGTTTACCTCTCCCAGTTGATTTGGGGATTACATCCAATGCTGTTATTGCAACTCAATACTGCAATACTCCCTTGTCAAGGAATTTGCACGCCATTTCTCTCCACAGACAATTTAACCCCAATGTTGTGAGGCTGCTTTCAGGAACGCTCCTTTCAAATGTCTACTGGTGCAGCAATAAGAAGCTCTGCAAACTGCTCAAGCTTCAAACCCCAGTGATAATCTGAAAATGAAGCTAAGTCATTCTGACTGTGGATTGACCTCTAATATAGATTTTGCTCTTGGAACTGATTTGACAGTTCCAATAACACTCTATAAACTCACATTATTTAGCAACGCAGGCTTTTGTAGCTAAAGGCAACAAGTGAGAAGAAGAAAAAGGAATTTATATACAACTATTCTTGTCCTAAATTGAGATCTCATTTATCAATTTCTGGATGGTCATATAAGTAAAAGCAGGAAAACTACTGCCCCTCTTCAAAAACCAGAGAGAAATAAGAGTCAAGTACTCAATTCATATCATTTTTCTCTCAGTTAAAGATACTCCAACATTTAAGGCAAGGGATGAGCTGTTGTGGAGCTGTTCTGCTAAATGTCATATTTGCCAGCCTGCGATTTAGCTCACTGCTTCAATATACTACTTCAGTGACAGAGGTACCACCGACAGAAACGTGTTATTATGAGTCCCTCAAACCTGGAATCTAAGACCAGTTTTGTATTTTCAGACTATGGTAACTTCCCCTTTCTATGGGGAAAGTTATATCCCCAACTCTATGGGATGACTAGGTAGTCAAAGAAAAGGAAATGATATTCAGAGATGAGCAGAGACACAGATTTCTCTGGAAATAGCGTTCATAAACTGAACTGCTTTCTCATTATTCCCTTTCCCTTTACCTGGAATCTGATCTTTGTACATTGACTGACACTGAATCTGCAAAGACTGGAGCTCTTCTAAGATATGAAAAGCAAACGCATGAGATGACAGTTCTGCCTGGGACACTTCTCAGTTCATCCTTGGTGTTCCACAGAAACTGGTGGTGCTACTCGGAACTTATATTCCTTATTTTAAAACAAAAGTTATTTAAGACAAACATAAGTTTGAATAAAAGTCACAGTCCACAAGAAATGCAATAACTGTTACTACAACAAACAGAATGTAGGTGTAGGCTGCTTCATTTTATGAAAACAAGTCATTTTAGTAGTACAATGCATGATTAACATATTAACAGCTAGTGGAGTTTTACCTGAAATAGGATTTTATACATTCTTTGCACTGGCTTCTTCAACATATCTATATGCTTCTTCAACAAAGAAGTCTGATTTTTCAGAAAGAACAGTTTGAAAGCATCCAAAGATTCAGAAAGGACAGAATGAGTGGAGGCTTCTAGACCACTTCCTGATCAAATCAGTGACAATGAAGCACCTGAATTCCAGCTCTGTATTTCGATAAGAGATACTACATCTTCCAAACAAGGTAATGCTGTAACTGACATCACTTATTAAAAAAAAAAAAATTGGAAAAGCAAAGGATTCAAGGCAGCCAGGCAGGGAAGAAGAAAAGTGAATCAGCCACCTGCATCTCACAGATTAGTTTCAACATTAGTCTAACACTGATGCATCTGAGCTAAGAAACAAAAACTAACCTTCCTACAGTTAACTAAACACCAACCTTGGAGCAAAGAATCACAGTCATAGAGGTTGGAAGGTAACTCTGGAGATCATCCAGTCCGACCTCCAATACTTTCATTTTTTAACCATTCACAGTGAAGGTAAAACGTTGAAAATCCTGATAATAATTTTCTATCAGTTCACACTTCTATACATGAACCTCTTCTTTAGATCTGATTCATATGTACAACTGTTTTGACACACACAACAAGGTGTAAACTCATTTACTCTCCATGAATGTTCTCCTTAAACATCCAGGCAGCTGAAGCGCTCAGTTAGTTTAAAAAATGCCTCACTCTCCCCATCTTGTGGGCATAAATGAGCATTGCAGCATGTGCTTGGCTCGCCACGACGACCCTGATTCAGCAGAACGTTTAATCATACTTACCTACAGCAATAATTCTTCTCAACACACACATAAACTTAAATCTCATTGACTAAATTACCTGCGGTAATGAGCTGTCCCTCCAAACGCTTACCAACAGCATTGCAGTGGTTCTATTTATTCATTCATTTTCCAATAGTCACAGGGCGTACAGTCGCAATGCAAAAATGCACAACCTGAAGATAACGTAGCAAAAAAAAAAGGCACTTACCCACTGGTGATATCGTCAGTCCTGATATTCTTGCCCAGCACATCTCCATCACTCATGTAGCCGGTGGCATCCATGGTGATGCCTTCCAAATCTATTTCATCACTTCCTTTGTCTGAGATGTCCACATGGCAGACGCTGCTACCGCGGGATGCCAGCTGTCTGCGCAAAGGTGCTGAATACATGTAACGTCCTGATTCTGTGTTGATGAAGCGGCTGGCGTTCCCTCTGGGAGGATAGCCATTCCCCAAGGACGGAGCATCACCTGCCTGCAGGCGGGGGCTGGACTGCCCCAGTCTCCATGACAAAGGGGTGGGTCGTCCCGTCAAGCTGAGAATGCTGCGACCGCTGATCTCGGTGGTCACGTTGGTGTCAAATGTCGTTTCCAAGGTGCTATTTAAAAATAAAAGAAAAGCGTTGGATCAAAGGCGGACTGCTCTGTAGATCACGGGACTTCAGGTGATGTTACGTACAGATTGCAAGATCTATGCTCAGATTGTTTACCGAGTCACAAAGGAGTAAAGCATTAACAGAATTCAATTGCTACAGAGCTTTGAGAGTTAGGCCCATCCCTCCAGCACCACTCTTAAACAGTGATAGTTTTGCACTCAGGCCACCTACTGTTCAAAATAGACGGTAGAAGACTTAGGAACTTTTAACGGATTATCCACAGTATCCAAGTGTCATTTTCTCCACCTTCAATCACATATAACTCTATTATGCCACATTTTGCCACTCTAAGCAAGGGAGTATGATATTAAGACAAGGAAAGGAACAACAAATCAAGAACTGTCTTTTGATACATTTTCTTTTTCTGCCTGCATTTCTGAAAGACTTAGGAGATGAGAGCCATACCTACACTAAAGAAAGGATTAAATGAGGAAGTAAGAAAAGCAATATTTTCCAAAGTATCTTTTATATATTCATGAACTGAATACATTTTTCAAAATATTGACAATATTTACACCAAGCTCTGGTTGTGAACCTATTTCAGGTCACAGCCTACAAATATTGTTTTTTACAAGCATCAGCTATATTAAGTCATATTTTGCATGTCTGAGAGTGTGAGTGCGTTGCATCCCTTTCTAGAATAATGCTAGTATGGTCTGAATGCTTTTTTCCAGATCCATAGCTGCAACTTCTCTTACCCACGGGAATCCTTCTTTTCCTGCTCAGCTAACATAGCATAACTTCTCTTTTAAATTATTACTGCGGATCTTTTTAAAGATACCAGCACTGTACTAATCCCAATACAGCATTGAGCATACACTGCAACAACCTAAGAATCCTACAGTTACAGTAATTAAACCCTAATGAGCTGTCACATTAATTGAACTCTGAAAAGAAAAATACATGCATTGGTAGTTTATCTTTGCAAGTTCTGGCTTAGTTTAGATACACAGCCTAAGCACAAAGCATGCATGCAATTAACTCATGCAGGGCAGGAGTCTGTAAGCACTGCACAGGACCCCTCACCTCATTAGGGGCCAACAGTTCACTATCCCAAGACTCCTGCTCAGCACTGAACAGATCTGAGTCACAGAATGTTCAAACATAGTAAGAGCACATTCTAAATATCGCTGGAGATTTCTAAACACTGCTAAAAAACAATAAAATTATATACGTGGATGACTAATACTGTCAGAAAAAAACTGTTTGTCCAAAGACTGGCCAGGAATTCAAGTTATGCACTTTTTCAAGTGGGTCAGGCACAGTTCACCTGCTTGTTTAAACAAAATATTACACACTGGGGGAGAGGGGTGTAATGCACTGAAGTTTTTTAAGGGGTAAGATGAAGAAACATCTTAAACGATAACCCATGTTCAAACACTACCTAATGCCTTCAACCAGTGCTGCTTATTCTCCAACTTTGTTTCTATATACAAACTGCCATCATCAGTCGCTCATCATTAAGCTTCATCAACACTGAACAGAAACCAAGATCTGTGCTTTATAGGTAAAATAAAAGAACGGTATCTTCACCTGTCAGTCTTAATCAATTTCCAAAGATGCTAGATCTAAGAGATGCAAAGTAAGACCACATTTTCAGTGTGGTCTTCACACTGTGACGTGCTTCACATCTTCTCACAAATAAAGTTATGTCATCACCTGTGAGTGACCTGGGTTCCCCGCAAGCTGGACATTGTTTCCTCCAAGTTCTGTCGAAGATCGGCAATGTTTTTCACAGTTCTTAATCGCCGAGTTTCTGGATCCTCTCCTAGAGGAGTAACAAGCCATTGGAAAGGAGAGGGCAGGAAACAGCACAGAACTGAGTTGTTACCTTTGCCTGAATCTGTCTCAGAGACGTTTCTCTAATATTTACATACATACATACATAGAGTTTACATACATTAAAATCCCTCTAGTGTCTCAGTGTAAGTTATTTACTTGCCCTCAGCTGCTAATTAAGAAATGCCTTGGTTGCTAGTTCAGATGAGTTGTATATAATTAAATCTTCTAATAGGTTGAAGAGAAGTGACTATTGACTTCCAGTAGTGCTAACAGATTTTTGTAAGCTCCACATTGAAGCAGAACACCTCCAAAAAGCCATCACAGAACTTGCTGGGCACAGAAGGGAATGATACCATTCTAAAGGGTTTATAGCTCACGACTACAGAAATTACTACTGCAGATTCAAAACTACACACTTCATATTAACCTTTTCTGCACAAGTCGTGAATTTTTAAGCTGTGAGGATAGTGGTCATCCATACAACAGCTGGTTTATATGGCCATCTGCATATTATACAAATCAGAAGCAACAAGGAGCAGACCAAATAGCCTTTTACTTCATCACTGGCATTTCCCACGTTCTTTGCCTTAAACTTCATGTTGCTGAAGGATGCCAGATTGGTGGCACAGACAGACCAAGTGACAGACTCTTACTTGCAAAGCAGCAGCAGCACAAAGCACTTAACAGAAGAGCTGAAGCCCTGACTACAAGGAACTATCTAGGGAGGGGAAGATAGATTTTTATTCTTATATCATCATTAGCCCTTCTGAAATAAACAGTGATGACTCAGTTAGTGTCCATGTTAGCAATGTTTTATAGGTTTCCAGTCCCTAGGAAATAACCTAACAATAAATTTCACTTAGGCCCAAGATCAAATAATTATGATCAGGCTGAACTGGAAATAGCCATCTAACATGAGGGATTCCTTTAGCCACTGGGTCCCTGGGACAGAAAACAAATTATTGCTGTAAAGAACATAAAATATTTATAGGCCTTCAGTCTAACAAAGGTCAGAGTGCTCTTTTACAGATCATTTCTCTCAAAGAGATGAAGGCAAACAGTAAGTAACTTCGTAACTGAACATACACAAGATTTACTGCATGGAAATTAATTTCTATTGCTATCACTTATCTAAATCACAATACAATACAATTTTTTTAACTTAAATTACGTTCAGTTACTTCAAATGTAGAGAGACATCGGATAGTGTCACTAAAAATTATTGAATTAGTGGCTCTTTGTGAGCAGGTGATTCCATTAAATCACACAGCTTCCTGTTTTCCCTACCTGCACTCTTCTGTTTCAGATACGCTTTATACCAAAGCTCCAATAGCTGCTACGGAGGGAAAGAAGAAATCTGTTACTTATTCCTTCTAATTTATTTGGATCAACGGACCACTTTGCTCCGCTTGTTCATTTTCCCTTAAGACTCCTTTATTGACTGCTGCTGTCTGTGGAGTTTGGCTACACACAGCTGGGTTTTGCGTCTCGATTCCTTGAGGCTGTCGTGTCATCCTGCATCCTTGGATCCCAACAAATACTCTACCTGAATAATAGTTGGTGTTTATACAACCTCTGTCATTGAAGACTAAGGACCTTCTGTGATCTATCAATTCTTCCCAGTTTATAGGAAGACATCTAGGCCAGGGCAGGCTACCCAACAATTAGGAGGTAATGCTGAAAAGGCCTATGAAGCTGTACATCTTGTGTTTCATACTTTGAACTCACTCACTCATCTAAGTATGAACCCAAAAATTTTATCAAGAATTTTATCAAATTTTATCAAAATGGCACAAGGCCATTTGACTTTTTATTTTTTAACCAATGTATAAAGCACATTTTTACACAATTTATACACGTTTACACACATCCATTTATGCACCTCTGCAGCCCTTTTCCTTACCAATGATGCTGCTTGGCTTTGCCATCAGCGTGTGCATACACAAATGTGGCACTGACAGAAAATATAATGCAAAATGAAATCAATCCAGGTGTGAAAATTATAGCTGTATGACTTTCCGGGCAGGATAATCAGTCTCAAAACTCACACTAATGTGGAGGAGACCAAAATTAACTCAATAAAAAAGCCTAGGATATTCTATGATTAATGAGATAAACTGTAATAGTATCCAATAAAGAGCATCACAGGCATTGCTAAAATCATAATGGAAAGAGGAGACTTGACAGTGGCTTAAGTGTACATTTTAGACCCTAAATAGAATATGGTTATCAGAAACTGCTTAGGTACCATAGGAAAGCTAAAAAATGATTGCTAATGATCAAATAAGAATCCAAGAAAAAAGTACAAATCACTTTCTAACTTCACTTGCTAGTATTCTCATCAGTTTACATCAGCTCCAGTTTGTGCATGCTAGACACAGTAAGCTGAAACTGGATTTTGGTCTCTTCTTGGTGAAAAAAACCCACTTCTCTTTCGCAAGCAAAGAAGCAAGAAAAGCAGTTTCCTTTACATATATATACGTATGGGAATACTTAGGATCTTCACTACAAATCAGCCCTGAAAAGTGTTGCACATATCCCAGAAGACAATATGCACCCAGAACACCTAATGGTTTCAAGAAATAGTTTCAAGTGGTTTCACCACTGCATACAACTTGAGTATCTATTACTCATGTTATTGACACCCAGCTTCCCTTGCCTAACAGTTAAAAAATACCATTACTAATAGGAAATAAAATATTAGAAATTAAAGCAAATTAAATTCTCCCTACAGCAGAGCTCCTGACTTCAAATTTGCTTTAGTCCATTCTCACTTAATTGCAACATGGTAAATCATCCTGCAAGACATACCTGAGAGGTCTTCGACAGCAGGCTGTCCAGTTTTGACATAGAGAGTAGGATCCATGCTGACCCCTCCTGTGCTGGCCTCAGCTGTTACATTTCCTTCATTCTCTGTCTGGGATCTGTAAGACAAAGCAAAATAGTGATGTGCAGACAGCCTCCATCAAAATTAGCTCACAGAGAACAACTAGACAACTGCACCTGCCATCAGCCCCTCCAGAATAGACCAGCAGACTGATTTTACATAATTCATTAGTCCCATTTTGAACTATGTCTTAGAAATGGAAGCAAGCACTCAGCTGTGAAAAATAAAAAATTCATGGCCAAACATAGGCTTCTTAGCTCTTCAAATGGGGTCCTAAGAAACTTGTGTTTCCAGTTCACTTCAATTATCAATATCATCATTTGTTGTGATTAATCAGACCTTCTCTAATAGTTTGCTTTACATAAATATAAAGCAGGTAGTGTGTGATGGCATCTTACACTCCTGCTGGTTATTCTTCCGTAACCAGCAATGACACTCATTTTTATTTTAAAATAAATGACTGGATAACACCAATTTGCTACCTGACACGATGGCTGCCATGTAAATGGGACGTGATGAGAACGTACTGTCAGATGTCAGTAGCGTATCTTGGATTACTTCATTTTACTGCCTGTGCTGTGTTTTGCTCTAAGAGCCACATCAACAAGCAGCTGGAAGTTCTCTTGTCAAAAGAAGTGCTGTACAAGAGCAAAAGCATAGCAAGCAATTACTACTGTAGTGTTCTTAATTTCACTTGGCCTTATATGAAACGTAGAACAACTTCTCCAGAGATTAAAACCACAGCGTGTTAACAGTGACACTTTAGACACATTCCCCTTCCCTACAGTTTGTGTTTGAGTTGCAGATCCACATTAAGGAATCTGCTATAGCTGTGAATAACAATATGAGAAAGTTAGATATCATTATGGATTTAAGCTACTATAGCAATTTTCACCTCTAAATAGATTTCAAAAAATTGGCATTAGTAGATCCCACCACACGTCAAAGATGTGACAGTAATGGTGATGTATGTAGATGAAAGTGAGAACAAGAGAAATACAGAACATGTAATATAAATACAAATATTAGGCTTTTCCAACTTATTCATTTTCACTTGACTGCATACCAGAATGGCATCTGGCACCTTACTCCATAGACACAGAGATAACACTCTAGGGATCAGCAGACTCAAGGGTCACTCTTCTCCTGCCTGCCTACATAGGTCTGAGCAATTCTTTTGCATCTCTCTCCTTCATTTTTATTTCATTTAAAAATTTGATTTTGCTTGCAAAAAAAACCCACCAACAACACAAAAACAACACGGCCAACCATTCTTACACTACACCTACCAAGGGCAAAAAACCATACCGTTCAACTGAAAAATTACAGCGGAGAGTGACAAAGGTGGACAAAACGGTGTGAATAACATCTACAAGCAGCACGAGCAGCAACTAAACAGGCCAGAAAAGACACACTGTGAGGTAGGAGAGATATGAGAGAGGTCTATAAAAGCACGAGCAGCAAAAAGATAACAAAGACAGAACAACTGCTTGAAAAAACTAAGGAGCATGAAAGAAAATCATGATGTGGCTGTCAAAGCCCGAAACTTTGCCATTAGACTCAGGAATTTCTTCTGTCGTTGTCAGGTTTGGCAGCACATCCTCAGAAAGCTTCGTTAGTCATTTCCTTCTCGTTACTCTTCCCTGTGTTTCCTCTACTGCCACTGTCACACACAAGACGCTGGCCTGGAGGTTAGCTGTCCTCACAGACGGCTGATCTTATGAATATCTAGTTCTGGGGTAATGCAAGCATAGAAGAGAAGACCTTGTGCTCGGCCTTGCCTATACTAATCGACTTCTATTTTTCAATTTGTTCTAATTCGCCACCACCATTAGCCACACTTACAAGTTATGATGTGTAAAATAAACCTAATGCACATGGTCCAAGGGCAGCAGTGGGACAAGGCGTTAGCATTCGGATATTAACTATTAGAAGTGTCAGGTACAACTATCCCAGCTCCTATCTATCAGAATTTCTTACACACTTGAGAACCATAGGACATCCCAAGTTGGAAGGGACTCATAAAGATCACTGAGTCCACCTCCAACTTTGGTCTGACTACCTTTCACAACAGTTTCTGGGTAAATACATAAATGTGTTATTCCAACGGCATCCATGGCGTTGCCTCACTCCCCCAGTAAAGCGTCTCCAATGAATGCTCCTACCCAGAGGCCATGTTCCAAAGGGATGATCCCAGCAGTTAGTTACCTGTACATGAACGGAGCTACTGTGGCCGTGTTCGGGTGGCTGTATTGCTGCTGGGGCTGAGGTAGCTGAACACTGACGGTGTTGCTTCCCGTGCTGTGTGTGGTGGCCGGCCCACTGACAGACTGGCTGCTGTTGCTGCTGTTGAGGCTTCCGATGCCTTTTCCTTCAGAAGAGGCTAAGCTTGAAGAGGAACTGGAATTCCTGCTGTCTAGCTGAGACTTCTGATGCGAGAGTCCCGAGCCAGGTTTCCCACTGCGGCTCCTCTCACTTTCTTTTGTAGAAACTGGGGCACTTGAGGATTTCCCTGCAGTGTTTTTCATTCCTGGTTTTGGTATTCCACTGTGCAAAGGGGCCGAGGCCTCCTTCTTGGCACTGTTCAGCTTTCCTCCTTTTGGAATAAAGCTTGCAATCTTTGAGGACTTTTTTGGCATCTCTGCTGTTGCTAGCACTGTCTGCTCTTCTTTTGGTTCCTCTTTCACACCCAGCTTTTCGGTCATAGATGTTCTTTTTCCCGTGTCTTTACTTTTATCCTTTTCTTTCTCCTTCTGTTTCTCTTTCTCCTTCTCATTACCCTTGGGAGAACTTTTCTTGTTAGTCAGTGCCCGGCTGAAAGTCCTTTGTGCGATTCCCTTGAGTGCAATTTTGGGGCTACTGGACATTGATCCTGGATTGCTCACATTCTGATTTGTGGCATCGATTTCTTCGCTCTCCTCAAAGCTGGGAAGTGTCTCTAGCTTTTCACAACTGCTGTCACGAGATGTGGAACACTCAAGCGTCGTCCCCCCTGCTTTGGAGCCTCCTTTGCTGTTGAAGAGTTTCAACTTTTCCAGCATGGATTTTTGGCCATTGGGAGTTGTTTTGACGACTTCTGAGGGTGGTTTTGGAGGCTCTGGTACGGGCTGCTTTACGGATAGCATGGAAGACGTCGCTGTGTGCTTAGCACTGAGGGACTTGCTGCGCCAAGGCTTAATAGCAGAGCTGGGCTGAGGGATGGCCGAGGAGTTATTGCAACCAGTAGTAACGCTGCAGCTTTGAACTGAGGATGATACATTTTCATTCATTCCTGTGGGCTGGAAGGCTGTACTGTCTGCAGGCTCTGGAAAAAAGTTAAATTAAAATTTTAAAGAAGAGACACCAAACACAGTGGCATCTGATATTATAGCTGGCTTGGGATTCTTTTTGTAATGAAACAGCAGGAGCTTTACAGTAGTAACCCTGAAAAGGCAGACACACATCACTGCTTTAAACATCAGTATCATTCAATGAATACAAAAGCCAGTTTTCCTTTCCAGCAGCACAGCAACAAGCTCCCACTATGTAATTTACATTTAGTTTCTCCTGAAAGAAAAAAAAATAGCTCAAGCCAAAATGTGCTTTGCAATGCGTTCTTCTTTATTAGATTCATAATACTTCTTCATTAGCAAAAACATAGCACTGTTTTCTAATCAAGGGTTCTCTCAGCTTTTTGGCAAAATTTTTGCTGTCCGAATTCAATTCTTAGAAAAACCTCAAGTATAAAAAAAATGCAGGAGTAAGGAAAAAGAAATAAATCCAAAGCTCTTTCAGTTATTGGGGAGAGATCCTCATCTACAAAAATGCAGAATAAAACTCCATGTACAAAACCAACCGTGCCCTTATGAGATGAACCTAATTTATACCTCACCACGCTTATAATGCAGCTGTAAGAGAAACCAGTGGCAGTAATTGCACAGCTGTCCCCCTCAGACAGAGCAAATCCTATTTGGTTAGGTACTTTGAGCATTATGCATTCTTAGCAAGAAGTCAGCATAGAGCTGAGAGAAAGCTTGAAAAACCCCACTCACCTACCAGTGGCCACTTCTCCTCTGTAGCTTCTCTCTGCAGTTTCCCTTCTGGAGACGTTACTCTCTCAATTATCACAAATATGTTTTCTGTTAAGCTGCTCATGTTGCCAATTAACTTTTGTCATCTGTGTCTGTTCGCCTGCCCAGCAGCCTGCTGGGGATTAACGGCTTTTACCTATATTTCTCTGCCATCCAGCACTGAAGTAAACTCTGTACGGAGCTGCATTTTTTTAATTCAAAAATCAACAGCGGTTGAGAGCGTGCGTTTTCGGCAGCAGGGGCAGCCCAGTGAATTCAGCCCTGTAAATCATGAACCGCTGCAACCACGCGGGGACTGTTGTGCTTCATTTTCAGCTGCACACTGCAGATACGGCTCTGTTAACCGCCCTCCCCTGATCCAAACCAGAACTACTGAGGATTTAAAGCACACGCATCTTCCTGCCTCAATGGAGAATCAGTTTGCGAGATTCCTTCGTAATAAACTCAGTCATTTCACTTACAGATAAAGTAGGACTCCAGGAATTAATGGCACTTTAAAAAATTTTACTGAAGTTGGAACATTTCCAGGACCTGTTATTAACCAATCACTATTATATCGGCTGGTCCTCCTGCTGCAAAGAATCCACGTGGAGATGGAAGGAAGTAATTGTCATTTACAGACACAGGAGGGACGTATACTGCTTTTACATTACTGCTGGCCTGCTGACTCCAGGGGCATTATTCCTGCCTCACTCCAGCAAGGAAGGAAAACCAAGCCACCCCATGTCCCAGGCAGCAGAACCGCCCGGTTCTCCATGTGCTCTGTGAACATGGGCAAGGAACCCTTCGGGAGAGCCAAGATGCAAGGAGTAATGGGGAGACTGGGGCAATACAAGGGTGCTGCAGGGGAATCTGTTGCTAGGTGTAATCTACAAGGCAGTGCTGCTTCCTTCACATACATATGGAGCAGTGGGAAAGGAGCTGCTTGTGCCATCAGGCAGTACAAGATGGGCAGCAAGAAACCTAACAGAGCGTTCTGGGAAGGGAAACCCACACCAGCACTGCCCTCCTCACAGCAGCACAGCGGTTGCCTGGAAGGGAGTGGGAAGTGAGCGTTAGGGCATTTGGGAAAGGAGTTTCATCCCAGCAGCCCCAGGGACAGCTCCAATCCTTGGACTTTTAGGAAACAGGTCTCACTGGGTCAAATAAAATTACTTATTTCTCCACATCCAAAAGCATTTTTCAAAATGTATTTCCCAAGAAAATCCAGAACTTCTTAATTTACACCTTCTCTGTGTTTTTGGTGTTCGGTTTTGCTTGAAATTTGGTTTGGCCTTTGCACAGAATACACTTTCATTTTTCATTTTTCAGAAATAAACACGGTCCCACTTTGAGCCTACACCACCACACTTCCAGTGGTGCTCAATGATGCATCTCCACTTAGAGAGCTGCTCATCTACAGTCATGTCAGAGAAATCACACTTATACCAACACTGTTGTTACTGTAATAAACTTAAAAAAAAACAACCGCGAATATATGGAGACATTAACGTAATTTTTAGAGTCTCTACCTAACATTTTCCAGGAAGGGAATTCTGTGAGTGCTGAATTCTACACATCTGATACCAAGGAAAAATATTTAGAAACTTCTAAATATACATGCTAAGCTGTTACACTTTGGGAAAGGAAAGGAGATATTTTCTTACACATGTTCTGTGGATTTTGATTTATATTCAGATCAAATACAGTGAAAATGGACATTCAAAGTCCTCAGGCTTTTGCTGCATTGTACCAGAGAAAGTGCAGGAAATAAAAGGTTCGCTGTAAAACACAGCCATCAAAAATGGCTTCAGCTTAAGAAAGCTTCAGTCTTTCTCAGACTCTCTGTTTCCCTCTCACAAACAAGTCCACTGGCTCTTTTACTCCTAAGACCAATCTTGGTAAACAAAAAGGATTTTGCTGCCAGAGTGCAGCTTTAAATGCTAGGTTTCCTAATGAAGCAGTAACATCAATATGTGGATAATACATCAGCATACAGAGGGGAAACTTATTCAGCGTGGCACAGGCCCTTCTTTCATGAAAAAGAGAGCAGGTTTCATGCATTCTATTAATAAGCTTATTATTTCTCATGTGTTCCTTTGTGAGGGAGATAATTTCTTTCTTCAGCAACCTACATTAGCTAAAACTGACTATAAAAGAAATGTTTTCAAAACCAAGCTACAGCCTACAATAAATAACGATCTCTTTCCCCTTTTCAGAGTCAAATCTTGGCTTGCAGTCTATTTTGTTCCTAGCGTTCAGTTAAAAAGATGTTGGTGGTCCAGTTCCAATGCCAATGCGCGCTGTAGCATGGGTAAATCTGATTTCAGCTGCTCCTGTAAAGTCTTAGCTGCAAACATATCCATTTGTAATGAGAAAAAGAAGCTGAAAGCTTATGATTTAAATCTCCCACCAAAGTCTTTGAGAGATTACGTTATAATAAGGTCAGGAGAAAATATATGCCATTTCCCATCATTTGTCTTGTACAGTCTAAGCAAGTGTGCTTTCATTTGCTGCAAGTGAAAACTTTAAAAAACACTTTCTTTATAGGCACGAAAAGCAGCACAAAGACAAAGGATGTTCTCATAGTTACGTCTCCTGAGAAAGGTCAAGAACTTCACACTATTTTTATTCATTTTAGAATGAATAAGCTGCCATTTTTTACGTTGCAGCTATGGGAAAAATAAGTAGTTCTCATGAAAAGAAACATCGTCTCGTAACAGCCCATAGATTAGATAACTGAGTCAGAAGCAAATCTGCAACAAAATTCTAATTTAGGAAGTAAAAGCAGAGGCTGCTCTATGACATTACAGTGTCAGAACTGCAGAAAGCGTTGTGGCATCTCCATCATTTCCCACCACAGGGAGGGATAAATGGCAAGTGCTGACCTTCCATGCACACACCAGAAGACTCTTCTTAAAGCACCACAATTAAGAGTCTCACAGAGGAAAGCTTTTTAGCTGAGCTGTCCTCTTCTTCAGTGGTGATTTATCATGCTTAGCAGACCCCTGACATATGGAAACATCTCCATTTCTGCCAGGAGCCTACTATAAAAATCGGAATCTTTCCATAGCCCAAAAGAAGAGCAGGTAGAGCAGAACGTTCCTAACAAGAATTCCCTGGCACACAGCCCTTCTACAAAACAAGCTGAACCTCTTGGATCCACAGCAGTGTCTACTTCTGTTGTAATGCCGCTCACCCCATAGAATGAGAGCTGCCTCCTCTGGCCACAGTGAAAAACAGCCAGAACATGATCTTAAAAGCAGAAACTGCTAGATGGTAAAAGTCTGTGTAAGCTGAAACGATCAGAGAGGGAACATTTTGCCTTGCCGAGAACAAAAACTTCACCAAGGTGACTCCAGTTGGTTTCCTCAACTTCTATCCCCATTGTTTTTTCCCTTAGAGCTGATGAAATTTATTGCACTATGGGACAAAAATCACCTTTACTCTTTGATATTTCCAATTCTGCTTTCTTCCATCAGAGCTACTTCCTCAGCCTCAGACTCTGTAACTACACTTGCTGCTCTGTACTCCCAGCTCATGGAGGTGTCAGTCACCGAGCTTTCCCACTTCTGTGAGTTCCCTTTGTTCACGCAGAGCTCCAGCACACAGAACAATGACACTGTTGTTTACTAGTCGACATCGCCAAGACCTGGGACTTTTGCTGAGGTGAAGGGAAATAAGTTTGGAGCACAAGCAATCCTTGGCTCAGTGTCTTGACCTGACACAGACACTTGAATTGCTTGTTTTTGTTTATTTACTGTAGCATTCCAAACAGCGCCCAAGAGAGAGGGCAGAGGGACCTCTATCGACCACATACTGGTTATATGACCATTACATAATGAAACCAGCTTTACAGAGCCATTCAAAACAAGTCACGCTCTCTACCGAATCCTAGACAAATATCATTCTTGTTAATTACCCTGAATTTTTCTCCTCATTATTTCTGCAATCAAATCCAACATTTCTCATAATAAGGTTATTCAGTTTATTAATAAATTCCAGGCAAGGAGTTCCTGAGGATTCTTCCATTGGGCTTTATACACAGTGTCATGGACAACACACTTATACCACAGTCTTGATCTGAAACATCTGCCTTACAGGTAGGTAGATCTGAAAGATGCCAGATACATGCTGTTGGTCTGAGAACCGGGCAGCTGGCCTCGAAAGCCAGGGCAACATGCAAGTAATGACCAACTCACTATTTACTACAGTAATGAAGGGTTGACCAAGGCTTGATGCTCATCAACCTCTG